TTATGCCATTTCAGGTAGGTGGCTGTCCAATCTTTTCTTAAAAACCTCCAGTGATGAAGCCCCTTCAACGTCTGAAGGCAACGTCTAGTTAATTGTCCTCGCTGTTAGGAAGTTTCTCCTTAATTCCAGGTTGCATCTCTCCTTGATTAGTTTCCATCCATTGTTTTGTTGTCCTGCCTTCTGGTGCTTTGGAAAATAAGTTGACCCCCTCTTCTTTAGGGCAGGCCCTCAAATACTGCAAGACTGCTATCATGTCACCCCTAGTCCTTCTTTTCTCTAGACTGGCCATACCCAATTCCTGCAACCTTTCTTCCTGTGTTTTTGTCTGCAGGCCTTTAAACCATCTTAATTGCTCTTCTTTGCATTTTTTTCCAAAGTCTCCCCCAAAAATTTTTTTTGTAACGTGATGACCAAAACTGGATGCAGTATTCCAGGTGTGGCCTTACTAAGACTTTATAAAGCATTACTAATACTTTACGTGATTTTGATTTTATGCCTCTGTTTATTCAACCCAGGATTGTATTAGTTTTTTGGGCTGCTGCTGCTGCTGCACACTGCTGGCTCATGGTCAAGTGATTGTCTACTAGGACTCCAAGGTCCCTCTCACAGTTGCTATGTTTGCGCCAGGTCTCACCCAATCTGTACTTGTGCCTTTGGTTTTTCCTGCCTAGGTGTAAAACCTTGCTTTTCTCCCTGTTAAAATTTATTTTGTTGGATCGGGCCCGTAGTTCAAGCCTTTGGTTTTTCCTGCCTAGGTGTAAAACCTTGCTTTTCTCCCTGTTAAAATTCATTTTGTTGGATCGGGCCCGTAGTTCAAGCCTTTGGTTTTTCCTGCCTAGGTGTAAAACCTTGCTTTTCTCCCTGTTAAAATTCATTTTGTTGGATCGGGCCCGTTGTTCAAGTCTGTCAAGATCTTTTTGGATCCTGGGATGTTGGCTATTCCTGCCAGCTTAGTGTCATCTGCAAATGTGATGAGTTCCTCTTCTATTCCTTCATCTAAGATTCAAGAAAAGCTGAAGAACGTTCAGTCTGTATTTTTAACTAATTCTGAAAGGAGTTAATTTTACCCCCGGGCTACCAGTAGCTGATTATACTCTGTCCAATTATTTTTCTCAGCACGCACAAGGAAGGATCTCGTTTCCTTTTTTGTGTGTGCATGTAAGAGAGAATATTCCCGCCTTTCTATTTTCCACCATCCTCTAACCCTGCACAGTGTTTCAAGTCAGATCATAGAGAACTGGATTTGTTGATCATATTTTAACCTGCTGTTGGTGAAGTTTTGTGGGTTTTACTCCAATTGTGCATTTGTCGCTTTTATTTATATTTTTCTTTCTTTGTTATTTTTAATTGTCGTGAACTTACCCAGAATCACACATGAGAGAGATGGGCAGCTATATAAATGGGAACGATTAAACAAATAAACAGCCTGCAGAATGAGATCGAATTGAAAATGGCATCTGGCATGATGCTTTTACAAATCAGCCACTTTGTTTTTTTCTTTCTTCCCCCCCCCCCTTCGCTTCCCCCCCGCTGTCTTTCATTTCATTTCATTTCTTTTTTTTTCTTTCTTTTCTTTTCTTTTCTTTTTTTTTTTTTTTTGGTCTATGGAATTTTCCTGGGCTTTGGGCATTGCCAAGGATCTTTGCATTTGTCAGAAGCAACAACATTGCATGAGAGCCCGAAGAGCTACTCATTGCAAAACATGTGCTGCGTGCTGCTGACTAATTTCCTTCGGTGTATAATTGAGGGCTGACTCAAAACTCAAGATTTGGCCACCTCCTTGCAATGCCGAGCAAAGTTGAGCTTGCTTTGGAGTTACCGTCAAAGCTGTTGCAGGGAAGCCCACTCTGTCCCGTTTACAATGCACGACAGGGTTTAGACAGGGAGGAAATTGTTCTCTGCATGGCTTGGATGAGTCAGGGGATGTGCTTTTGGTGATCCGAGGGGCACGTGGCCACCTTTGTATGCTAATAGGAGGCGAGGTCTCTTGCTGGGAATTGACGTTTCCCTTATTCTTAGTGAATGGTTTCAAGATTCAGAGAGCTAAGTTTCTTGCTTGCTATGAATAGTACAGTACAGGGGATCGGTCTCAACTGGCAGGCAAGTTTTCTAGATTTTTTTTTTTTTTAGTCACCTAAGAAGGAAACTTTCCCAAAAGAAAAATGAAAGTGCTGTATGTCACACCTTATTTCTCTTGCCCTCTTCTTTCTGTGATTTTTTTGAATTCTTTCCCTGCCTTTTTTGAGCTAGCTAGCTAGCTAGTCTCTCTCTGTCTCTCTCTGTCTCTCTCTCTTTCTCTCTCTCTCTCCCATCCTCTCTCTCTCTCTGTCTCTCTCTCTGTCTCTGTCTCTTTCTCTCCCATCCTCTCTCTCTCTCTCTCTCCCTCTCCCTCTCTCTCCCTCTCTCTCTCTCTCCCATCCTCCCTCTCTCTCTCTCTCCCATCCTCTCTCTCTCTCTCCCTCTCCCTCTCTCCCATCCTCCCCCCCTCTCTCTCCCATCCTCTCTCTCTCTCTCTCCTCTCCCCTCTCTCTCTCCCTCTCCCTCTCTCCCATCCTCCCTCTCTCTCTCTCTCTCTCTCTCTCCCATCCTCTCTCTCTCTCTCTCTCTCTCTCTCTCTCCCTCTCTCTCTCCCTCTCCCTCTCTCCCATCCTCTCTCTCTCTCTCTCTCTCTTCCTCGCTCTCTTTTCTATCGAACAACTTTGGAAGTCAGAAGAGAATATTTCAGCCTGCAGATGGACTACTACGTAGGCTCCTTGGAGGCACACAGAAATGGAATAATGCTTTCTAAAGAAGAAGATAACCAGGAGAGTTTATTCCCCATTTGGGGGCAATGTTGGCTTGCCGAATCAATGGATTGCTCAGGGAAACCAAGACTGAAACCTGGAACCATGGCTGTATGTGAGTGTTTTGAACCACGTGGCTGGTTGATCGTATACTTTGAGTTTTTTTTGTGTGTGTGTGTGTGTGTGTGTTTGCTTCTTTACCCGGTAATGGGTTTCTAAATTTATGTTTGCCTATTGATGCAAAGGACTGGGGCTGCGGTCCATTGGCAGAACATACTTTACCTTCACTGTGTCTCAGATTTGATCTTTAGTTAAAAGGATTAAAGACAGGAGCTTTTTTTTTTTTTTTGCTGGTTGGAATACAAATATGGGCTACGAACACTTGCTGTCTGGCTAGTATCAGCTGAATGACTGAAAACAGCTCTCTGGTTTCCCATTATTTGATCCACTTGATGTTGTACATGAGTAATTTTGCTTGATCTTGATGAGGCAGTGAGTCTCAGCATGATGATATATATCTCATTCCTGAATAATAGAATAACAAGAGTTAGAAGGGACCTTGGAGGTCTTCTAGTCCAACTCCCATTTCAGGCCGGAAACGCGAAATGTTGTCCAACCTCTTCTTAAAAACCTCCTGCGTCGGAGTACTCACCACTTCTGGAGGCAAGTCACTCCACTGATGAATTGTTCTCACTGTCAGAAAATTTCTCCTTAGTTCTAGGTTGGTTCTCTCCTTGCTTATTTCCCATCCATTACTTCTTGTTCTGTCTGCAGGTGCTTTGGAAAATAGCTTGACTGCCTCTTCTTTGGGGCAGCCCCTGAGATATTGGAACACTGTTATCATGTCCCCCCTTGTCCTTCTCTTCACTAAACTAGACATGCCCAATTCCTGCAACCATTCAAATATGTTTTAGCCTCCAGTCCCCTAATCATCTTCGTTGCTCTTTTTTGCACTCAGCACTCTGCCACCTTGCTTTTTTGAAGTCCGCCAGGGGCCAAGTTGCCTCTGGGGAGATTCAGCTCTAAAACTCAAGCTTGACTTTGGATCCATCCTCAAGCTGTTGCTTTTCCCTCAGCCTCAGTGCTCTAACTATTCAGCGGGAATTATAGTGTACGAAAGGAAAAAAAATAAATAAATCCAGAATTTAAAGCACATGGCAGATGAACAACAACAAAAATCTGTACGGATATTCAATGATACTTTAGACTTTTGGAATCTACTGCCTTCCAGATCTGTTAGATACAAGTTCCATCCTCCACGCTCGTTTGGGAGTACAATACGTAGCTTTCAGGAAATAAGAATTTTTCTGCTTGACCAGTTCTGGGTTTATGTAGTTCTGTTTTAGAGTGCTGTAAACTTTCAGGTAGACCAAATTAGGTAACCACCCTCTTTCTAACAGGAGAGATTTCTCTAGTCCATCTATCTGTTCCTCCCATGAGACTTCTTTGTTGCTTCCATTTAACTCCAAAGGATCTAGCCTCTACACCTTTTGAGTCAAATTATTACATTATTAACATGCACGGATATAGACAGTATATGTATTGGACCCACAGGAGACAAGGATTATTGTAATGCTCATTAAAGGGAATACTGTTCTTGGATTGATTGGGAACAGAAAGGATTTTCCTGTTGTGAGTAGGTGTGGACTTGAGAACCTGTTATGAAACTAGATTCAAGGCAGCTTCTTGCATCACAGATTGGCAAGAAAGGATAGGGACACAGTTGAAGCAGCCTCATTATGTTACAGCTAGGAGTACTGTATATGCTAAGTTCTGCCATTTGTACAGTACAAACAGTTCATACTGGATGTATTATATATATATTTTTTTCCACTCTGCTTCTGGGGGCGAAGATGGAGTACCTGTGCTTGGAGAAGGAGCATACAACGAGAGATATTTTCACTAAAAATGAAATGAAACGGCTCTTCATTTCATAACCTTTTTGTACCGACCCGGGAGTGGCATCCACAGCAAATGCTAGTTCTCAAGAGCTTGTTGGTCTTTTCACGGCATTGCTGAGCTGCCATCCATAGTAAGGAGACGACTCTTCTCCCGGAGGGGGAAAAGAGGACCAAACACCCTCTCCCCAAAATATTTTGGGAGAATTTCTTTGGGGAAATTGTTGACCTCCCGACTCAGATAGCAGAATGAATTGGAAATGGAAGCTTCATTGGTGTGGTTTTTCTTTTCTTCTTCTTCCTTTTCATCTGCCTGCAGCTGATTCAGGAGCCTTCCAGCAGCAGATGAAAGAAAGCTGCAACGTTCCTGACTGCAAATGGATTTGACTCGTAACTACCACCTTGTTGAGGACTATATGAGATTTTGGCAGCTGAACCCCAGTGGTAAGTTAAATACGGTCTTTCTTGAATCCTTTATTGCAGTGACTCCCAACCTGTGGTCCGCAGACCCCGGGTGGGTGGGGAGTTGTCACAGGGGGTCTGTGAAAGCTTGAAGAAATGTTATGATTTAAATCTTAAGTCTTGGTGGTCCGTGGCCACAAAAAGTATTTAAGGCGGGCTCCATGGTGAAGAAAAGGTTGAGAACCACTGCTTTATTGTTTTATGTTTTTCACATGTTTCACTGTCCAGGCCATTTTATTACTATTCCCATTTTAGAGCTAAAAAAAACTGAGGGTGTGTAGGATCATGCCCAACTGACCATTCACCTTCTCAGCCAAGTTGGAGGAAGGATACTCCAAGCCCAGTTTGAGTAAAAATAGGGACTAGTGTAGTAAACCATTCTTAATTCCCCTTATCCCACGATTCGCCTTTAGGCTGATTGGGCCTTTCTCCTTCCATCTAAAATGGAAATTGTTTCTCGTGTATCTCTGGGAACCATTACAGCGTGATACGATTATGAAGGTTTACTACCTTTTGTAAATATATATTTATCAAAATTGTATAACTGTCATAATTCACAAAAAGGCAACTCTGGGTAGCATACAACCCTCCTAGATTACCACTGCCATCGTAACCCCAGCTGTATTTTCTTTCCTGTATCACCTACGGACAAGTGGGGTGATGGCTAAGAGATGGTGACCACCGGTAGTTGGAAGACCAGCTGGTATCTTCAGGGCAAAGATAAGGTTTCCATTTAAAAAAAAAAATGACGTACTTCTGTCCTTTGCGATATTGCTTGTAGTTTGAGTCTCAGCATTTCCAGGGAGAAAGAGACAAAGGCAGATTTATTTATTTATTTCTATTTCATATTTCTTAACCGCCTGTCTCCTTGGAGAAGGGCCCTGTGCATTGTCCACATGAATAATCTGACTCTTTGTAAGGCATTTTAATTCGCTTGTTGTCGGGTTGTTTTTATCGTACGTTCTGGCCTGCCTCAGCTTGTGCTACCGAAACCAATCTTGCTTGACATCTGCTTCACTCTCTCTGTGATTTACTTATTGTTCCATGAGTGGATGGGGATGGTGGGCATTTTTAAGTTGTGTCGTTGAGCCTCCGTTCTGGCTTCAGAAAAGAGGTGGGCCGCCTTCTTTGCCAAAACTCTCCCAGACGAGTCTTTGGGAGTGGCCTACCCAGTCAAATATTGGCGGAAATAACTGGCCAAATATTTGAATTGGTTATTTCGACCGACGTTAAATATTTGGCAGTCTGTGATTTTGGAATGTGAGAATTCATAGGTGATTCGTGCAGAAGAAGACAGATGGGTTAGCTGGTTTGCCATGAAGTTTAGTCATGGATTGTATTTGGTAGCTGGCATTCTGACAGTTAATTGTATACAATCAAGGATATTTGATCAAAGAAAGATGGGAACACCTCCAAGAACATATTGGAGGTACTCAGACAAAATGATCCGGTGGGAACATGACTCTATCAGAAAATATTCCTTTTCTACAGTGGTTCTCAACCTGTGGGTCGGGACCCCATTTGGGGTCGAACGACCATTTCACGGGGGTCGCCAAACAACGCAGTCCGCCATTTTCCCCCCCTTTTCCTTAGCTGTGCTACTCCCTTTAATTCTATTGGATTTGGAAAGCCAATAGAATAGACTCTCTTGAATAGAATCTAATTCTATTGGCTTTCAAAAGCCAATAGGAATTGTCCAGGCTGTCTCTGCCCTGCTGAGTCCGCCAAAAGTCCCATTCTGTAAACGGTGCTGCACCAGTTGAGTAGTCCTCGACTTACGACCGGTTGAGTAGTCCTCGACTTACGACCGGTTGGGGGTCGCGGTATGAAAAAGGTTGAGAACCACTGCTTTACTAGAAGACAAACTGGTGAAGTTACTCCCTGTCAATCCATACTCATACGTGGACTCACCCCAAACATACAACTTAGATGTTTCTTATATCCCCCTCTACTTCGTTTGTGAGCGTGTGTGTTGTTTTGAGGACTTGGGCAGACTTCTAAGCAAAGCAGTGGTCTGCAAGCCTCCCAGCTTTTTTAATGTTCCAGAAGTGACTACACAGGTGGGGAGTGCATTTATATGAATAAAGATCAACCTGGAAGGAAATGCTTTGGTGTTTACTAGATAATTTCCTATTTTCTTTTAGTCAAGGAATCATCAAACCCGAATCCCAAAAGTATAAATTCAAGTAGAGCCAGAATGTCCACCAGATTCCCAGGGGGTACCTGTGGACATTTTGCTGCCCCCGAGTACCACTTTGATTAGACATTTCTACTTCAACATTGCAATGAAATCACAGCTGGCACGGGGTCTACGCGTAGCATATTGTACTTTGTTCAAGGAGTAAGGCGTGTTATTGCATTTGGATGGCTGCAGCTTGCTAAGCTCGCTAGTTTTAATTATTTTTATTTATGAAACAGAGTTATGGGGCTGCCCGTATAACCAGAAGGAACTCTGAACAGTGAACAGAAAAAAAATCTCAATACAGTAAAAAGACCATTTGAAAAATGATATTGTTTCCATTCCTCTTTCATAAGTACAGAAGGGGAAAGAGAGAAGAAAGAGGTTGCAGTTATGTGACATGCTTAATTGAATCAAGTCGAACAGCACATTCACACAAAATACTGCGCTTTATTAGTTTTAACTATGGTTAAAGGTAAGGTTTTGGGGTTTTTTTAAAAAGCTTTTTTGTGCTAACACATCCTATTTAGTTTATGGTGAGATACACTACATAAATGAAGAACATGGGTTAATTTTGGAATCAGGTTATTATGTGAATGCAGCCAGTGTTGTTAATGTTTGGATTATGATGGATCTCAGTAACATGATTTTTTACATCTGTGTCATTCATTTACACTGGAAGTTTTTAAGAAGAGACTGGACAGCCATTTGTCCGAAATGGTGTAGGGTTTCCTGCCTGAGCAGGAGGTTGGACTAGATGACCTCCAAGGTCCCTTCCAACTTTACTACTACTACTATTATTATTATTATTTATAAAATTGATGTAGCTGCCCATCTCATATAGTGACTTTAGACAGCTTACAACAGATATATAAAAACACAATATTGCAAAAAAAACCAGACACACAAAAGAAATGTAACTAAAACCACTAAAAATGATCGCACAATCTTAATTCCTTGCATGCCTAACCAATAATCTGACCCCAGTGCCTGAGGGAAGAGCCAGATTTTCAAGATTTTCCTGAAGACTAATGTGGTTAGAGCTATCTGGATCTTTGGGTGGAGACCTTTCCATAGGCCTGGTGCAGGAACAGAAAATTTATTTAGACCCTTGTTTGAGAATCTTTTTTTAAATAATATTACTGAAAAAAATATTTTGAGAACGTTATATATACACACAGTACTTTGGATGAATGTTTCATTAAGAAATAGGTGTGATAGATGTGTAACTTTCCCCAGTAATTTGAAGAAGGCAAAAAGAAAACCTTTATTGTAGTCAGTGACCCATATGTGATAAAATTCAGTAATCTAAAAATGGCCTACATGTACATGGATAAGGGCAGATGATAAAATGAATTAAATATATCACTTTCTTGGGGTTTGTTTGGTTCAGATCAAATGTGTCTGGTCTGTGTGTAGGTCAGTGGTTCTCAACCTGTGGGTCGCGACCCCATTTGGGGTCGAACGACCATTTCATGGGGGTCACCAAACAACACAGTCCGCCATTTTTTTCCCCCTTTTCCTTAGCTGTGCTACTCCCTTTTATTCTATTGGCTTTTGAAAGCCAATAGAAGAGACTCTCTTGAATAGAGTCTAATTCTATTGGCTTTCAAAAGCCAATCAGAATTGTCCAGGCTGTCTCTGCCCTGCCAAAAGTCCCATTCTGCAAACGGTGCTGCAAGTTGTCTGCAGTGAAGGCGAGCTGTCTGGAAGTTTCCACCCCTCCCTGCTGAGCAACTACTAAAAATGTAAGGAAAAGAGGGCCAGGGGTGGGAGGTGGGAGCCCGGCGGGCGCAGGGAGGGTTGCTGGCACGCGTGGGCCCGACGGGTGCCTTACCTCCCTTGGGCTGGGCTAGCTGGTGGCCCAGCCGGTGGTTGGCCTGCTCCGTCTCTGCCGCTTGCCAGCTACACCTCAGCCGGCGCAGGGGGCGGCACCACGCATGCGCAGCGCTCCCGGGCAGGGAAGTCCTCGACTTACGACCGGTTGGGTAGTCCTTGACTTACAACCGGTTGGGTAGTTCTCGACTTACGACCGGTTGGGTAGTCCTCGACTTACGACCGGTTGGGGTCGCGGCATTAAAAAGGTTGAGAACCATTGGTGTAGGTGATCCCACAACACAAGTATTCTTCATTTTTAAATTGTGTGTGTGTGTGTGTGTGTGTGTGTGTCTGTATCTGTGTGTACGTGTGTACCTTCAAGTCAGCCTTGACTCCTTCCAAGATTTTGGTTAGTCACTGCCTCCTGCCCAGGGCTGAGAGAGAGGGATTGGTCAAAGGTCACCCAGCTGACTCTGTGCCTATGGCGGGACTAGAACTCGCAGTCCCTGGTTTCTAGCCTGATGCCTTAACCAGTACACTAAACTGGCTTTCTTTCTTTTGAAAGAAATTGAAGCTAGAATAATAAGAGCACTAACAAGGCAAACACACAAAAAAGGCAAAACTTTACTTTCAGAATACAAGTAGTCCTCAACTTATGACCCACACGTGAGCTCTAAATTTCTGTTGCTAAGCAAGGCAGTTGTTAAGTGAGTTTAGAGTTAGGAAATTTTAAATAGATTTGGAAATAATTCTTTGCCCGTTCTGTTTCATTAGGTTTGCCCTGAACTGCAAAGTGAAAACTAAACCCAACTTTCTTTTTTTCCCCTCCCACATCCTGGGATAATGGTTGCTTCCAGAGCAATGTAACCCTGTCTGATGATAAATATCACACTGCTATAGCTATTTTTGCCCGTGGTTTAAAAAAAGTTGTCAGATTCTTCTACCCCTGCCATTTAAAGCTGGCTTATTAAGGAGATGAGTACAA